TCCTTGAGGGCATTCCGAAGAACTGCAGGCACAGTTGCAAAGAGAAGAGCATTCAGCCGGAAAGCCCTGAACCTCACACACTGGGAAACTGCTATTCTGGGCTGCAGACCGCAATTCCTAAACCCTGAACCCTGAACCCTAAACCCCAAACCCTAAACCCTAAACCTGATTGAGGTTGGAGTCAGGAACTTTGGAAGGTGGGTTGGCTCAGGGTTCACGAGGCTTATAGGCTCAGGGATAGACCCAGGTTGCGGCTTCCAGTGGAAGGCCCTCTAACAGGCCAAACCCTAAACCCTAAACACCCTAAACCCTAAACCCTAAACCCTAAACCCCCTAAACCCTAAACCCTAAACCCCCTAAACCATCTGAGGCCCCTCAGAAAGCCTCACCCTGAGGCCTCGTCCCAGCTGATACCATTGGTGATGGATAAGAACAAGGTCAGCATACTCTGAGGGACGCTGGACCAGAATCCTGAGGGGTTTAGGGTTTAGGGTTTAGGGTTTAGGGTTTAGGGTTTAGGGTTTAGGGACCGGGTTTGAGGGATGTATGGGGCTGTTGCTGTTTGGGTGGACAGTCCAACTGATGTACCTGGATGCTACGACTACGACAACTAGGTCTCTCAAGGCCTTGGTCGTGAGTGCGTGAGGCTTTGAGATATGATGAAGATCAGCACAGGAACTGTTCAAATCGTCATCGCAGAATTCCTCGGTTCGGTGGTGCTGCCGAGGTCGACCAGCAGAAACGCTTTGTTAAAATGAGAAGTCCCCCCCCCCACCCACCCACTCACCAAAAAGCAGATGCCCCAATGCAAAGGACAATTGAAACACAGTTTTCCAAAAGACAGCCAAGCTTCCCCACTGGTGTACCAAAGGTCTCGACAGTGGTCCGTGGAGATCTGGGTGATGAGAACGCCGAAGAGGTAAAAGAGAACCACCTTTGGGAGTGTCACTTGGAGTCATGCTCATGAGTTGTAGCTCCTTAGACAAGCATTCTTGAGGCTGAATGGTTATAGGGTTTTGCGAGGTTGCGGATTCGGATTGCCGGCTTGGATCCTGGCAACGTTTATCAACCGGCAACAGCTCAGACAGAAACTTGAATACACCTCAGCATAAGCAACTGGACAAGTTGCAGGCAAGAGTACTTGAAGTTAGATTCAACGATCCTTCACCTACAGCCTCAGCTTCTAGACAAAAGACTCAGCTGGCGCGCACCAGGCATGGACTCAAAGCGTAGAACAAGGGATGATGGGTGCAGAGGTCTATGACGTGGGGCTGTTGACCACCTCCGCTTAAGTGTCTGGCAAGGCAAGCTGGCGAAGACAATAAAAGATCCAAGCACATGTCGAAAGATGCTGCAAGAGAGACAGCAAGAGAGAGAGCAAGAGAGAGATAGAGAGGTAGAGGGGGAAATTACGGACACAGCGAAAGATAAGGAGATGAAGAAAGACAAAGTGGGAGACACAGAGGGCGAAAGGGGCTTAGGGTTTGTCTCACCAGAAGCAGCGAAGTCCATCCAACGGAACTCATGGTGCTCACGATGGAGAAGACGATAGTTCGGAGAGCGCTGAGATACCTGGGCACATTTCAAAGGTTCCCTAAATTTTAATCTCCAAGATTCTGTACTATATAGCCAGCAACCACTTGAAGGAGAAGAGAGTTGCACAAAGCAACTCATTTGAGCTCCTATGGCCTGAGGGACCTGTGCTGTCACAGTATTTGTGCAGAACATGTCCTTGCAGTTAGGGGATTCTCCACATATGGGCCCTTTGCAACGGGTGCCTGAATTATGAGGGCCCCCCTTGTTATCGTCGGAACCCAAAACGGGACCCGGTTTTAACGAGCCCCCACTAAATGACTGGAGTCAGATCTTGCCTGCAAGATCCGCAGCCCCGAAGCCCTAAACCCTAAACCCTAAAGCCCTAGACCCTAAATTCCCCCACCTTTGGCTGACGAGTTGCTGAAGCAAGCGCACGACTCGAACTCCCCGAAGCGCGCGCACGAATCGGAGGAAGCCTGCAACACTGTCAGCATAATCATGTTCAGTATAGTATCATGATTCTTGCTTTTGCTATCCCTAGCAAGAAGGTTATTGGCCTACTATGTGTAGTTTAGTTTATTATTCTCATTCTTGTTGCTGCAATTATTCGCGCGTTCTTCGATCTGGGTATATTTTTGGGTTGCTTAGGGAAGCAATGAGTCCCGGGATCAGCGTTCGGGAGCTTCGTTTAAGGCGGCGCCGGCTCCCGGATCAAACGAATGGAAAAGGATCAACAACAATAACAAAGGATGAATAAGACAATAGGGTGCATGGTTTGGGGTTTGAGGGTTGAGGATTTAGGGTTTAGACAGATTGTTCTATTGATACCTTTCTTTGGTGATTTTTATTTGTTCATCCCTGTCCCGGCGACTGGGCCTTTTGGATGCATATGCTTATGCTTGATCGTGTGCATTTTACATGATTTCTTATGTCTGCATGTCTCTGTCTGTGTGTCTACAACCATTTTGATATATCTCTCGAGAGAATCCCCGGCGCGCAAAGCGAGCCCTGGTCTATTTTTTTCTTCTGCTCAGCACCCTGGTCTCTCTCTCTCTCTCTCTCTCTCCCGCTTGCTTGCTTGATGTGCGTACGACCCCCAAAAGGGGTCGCCCCGACAACCACGCTCTATAGAGTCAGTCGGAGTGAGAAGGGTCTTCTGTGGGAGTGGGTCTTCAGGGACAGGGCATGATAAGTCTTAAAGCTGTAGGTGAAGGAGCACGGGGAGCTTCCCTGCACTGCACTTGGATGCCGAGCTCTGGAACTTCAGAGGAACCGGAAACACCACTGACCCGCCCTCTCTCTTCTTCTTCTTCTTCTTCTTCTTCTTCTTCTTCTTCTTCTTCTTCTTCTTCTTCTTCTTCTTCTTCTTCTTCTTCTTCTTCTTCTGCTCGGCATAGGGGAGCCCCCCCCACTCTCTCTCTCTCTCTCTCTCTGTCTTTCTCCCCTCTCTAGGCGCAAGCACGCTCCTCAAATCTACCTGCCCTTCGATCAGTTGGCCAGTCGATGCATGCATCGATCTATAAAAGTACAAGCCCTTGTAAAAACATCACGATGGTCAGCATTCCCTACAGCCAGCAATCCACCAGTTCAGCCATACCCGAACTCCTGCCCAAAACAGCTGAGACGTTCGGGATTAATGTTGCACCACAATCCATGGTGTATACATGCTCCGCTCTGCTAACATGTCCTTAACCTCAAAGTCACAGAACCCAGAATGCATCAACAGTTCTTTACCTCCCTCGAAACGAACCTGGCATCCTCATTTCAGGTTCCGTCAGGGCACGCATCATACGAAGTTGGCTAGGATCCATCTCCGAGGAAAACCTCAGGCTGCAGCAAAGGACGCTGGGATGTGTGCTGCTTTGTTTTTGGGCGGGGGGGGGGGGGCGGGGGGAGTGGGGGCGGGGGGGGGGGGGGGGGCGGTGGTGGTGGGTTTTCTGATCACTGCGCTGCTCATGGCCCTGCCTGTCTCGGATGTCTCTTCACGTGGGTTGTCGTCGGAAGACTTAAACCCTAAACTCTAAACCCCAAACCCTAAACCCTAAACCCACAACCCAGTTGAGTTCTGGGCATCGCTGATGCCACCGCCTCCGCCACAATCTCAAAGACGGACAGGATGAATATCACCAAATCCTGGCTGCTTCCGGGCTTAGGGTTTAGGGTTTAGGGTTTAGGGTTTATTCATATAGAGTCTCCTTCAATGCCGAAGTTCACTCAGCAACACTCAGCGGAAGGCTCATGGTGGGGGCGTGAAGTACATCAGAAGATGCACCCCCTGGCTCATCACAGGTATCAAAGCAGTCCATTTTCATTTGGGGTGTCTCTTTATTAGCATTATGCAATTCTGGGGGTATTTCCAAGGTAGTCCCACTTGCGTAAATGCCCATGATGCCTCAAAACTTCAGTACAAAGTCTAAACCTGCTCCAATCAAGCATCCGACCAATTCCACCACTTGTCGCTGCCGCAAAACATCTCGTGGCCTCAGATCAACAGATGTGCCAGGCTCAAGACACCCTAAAGCCCAAACCCTACACCCTAAACCCTAAACCCGTTTTTGTTGATAACCTCATGTTTCGATAGCCTGTGTCGATGACTTCGAAAGTCCGTGGAAGGACTCCTGGCTTCGCTTTTCAGAGAGTCCAAGGGGTGAAGTCGAGCAAAAGAAGACGAGGACCCTGGAGAATAAGTGTGGACAAAAAGAAGCAGCCTGCTTGCATTGCACTCCCACTGCTTAGGTTGGCGACTGCTTTGGGGAGTTTTCCAGGTTCCTGGCACAGAGACTGGCCGGGCCTTGTGCAGCACGTGCACGAGAACGAGCCCAAGACTTGACGTGCGCGCGCGCGCGCGAAATGGCACAATGCTCACGAACAAAACTCGGAGGTGAGAGGGAGAACCATCACTGCTTGGTATTTTCAAACTTGCTATGGCTGGTGGAAGTACATGCTGTGACCGTGAGCTGTGATCAGGGGTCCTCTGCTGCCAAGTCGCAGCCGAAAGCCTTGAGCTTAAGAAGAATCTCGCCAAAGAAGAGACACACGATAACCAAGTTCCTGAACAAGCAGGGCTTCGGGTTTAGAGTTTAGGGTTTATATTCAGGGTGTCAGACAGGGGCAGCCACAGCAGAGTAGCCAGCATTGGCGTTCCGAGACGCACAACTCCAAATACGTGGTGTAAGCCTCCTCACATTCAACCGTCATACAGAAGTCTCGGCAACACCGAGCAGTGCGCAAGCCTTGAAGCCCATATAGGCCATTATAGGGCTTTGGGTTTCAAATTCAGGGTTTAAGTTTAAGTTTAGGGATTCGGAACCCTAAACCCTAAACCCTAAACCCTAAACCCTAAACCCTAAACCCTTAACCCTTAACCCTTAACCCTTAAGCCCAAGGCAAGCCGCGCTATGTGGAATCCCTCTAGCTGCTGGTTGGGCGGTAGGCTGGCCGAGGCATCCACCTGCAAGGGGCAGCTTAGGGCTTCCCAAGGGTTTTTTATTAGAGTTTAGGGTTTAGGGTTTAGGGTTTAGGGTTTAGGGTTTAGGGTTTAGGGTTTAGGGTTTAGGGAGTGACTTGGTCTTGATCAAGATTCTTTTTTGTTGGGGGGAGGGGGGGGGGGGGTTGTCAAGGCTCTTGGGAAGAGAGGCCTCTAAGCCCGGAGCATGAGGCACACAGGCTCCCGAACAATCCTGGACCCACCTAAAACACATTAAAACACCCAACGGACCTTTAAGGCTGCCTTCAAGCCTCACACCCGCACACCAGTTTGTTTCTCAGGGACGGCCTTCCACGGGTTCAAGCTCCTGCTCAAGACATGCGACAACAAAGGCCCCAAGCCCACTCACGGCTCTGACTTAGGATAGAAAGAGACTTTCGAGGTCTAGTATAGGAGGTATAGGGCTAGAGTGCTAGAGATGGGAGCTCAGGGATGAGAGGATCCGGTGAAAGTTGGTTCCAAACGGGGATTCTGGAGTCTACACTTAGGGAATCTTGGGGAGGCCCCTCAACCCGAAACCTCCTTCCAGACCCACCTCCACACCGAGGAGAATGAGATTTGTGAGGATGACCACCGGGATGCTGGCCTGAGTGAATTTCAGGCGCCTTCGGCCTTGAGCTGGCACAAGCAAGCCCTGAGACCTAAACTCTCAAGCGCCAAGAACCCTCCAAGTTCGTGATATCCCAGGCCCAAAAAACCCCCAAACCCCTAAAAAACCTTGAACCTCAAACCCCAAAATCATGAAGACCCTCGGCCAAGGGGCACGAAACCAAGAGGCATGGACGATCCGCAGCGCCCACGGGTCTGGTGTCTCCGGCTCCAGTTCACCATCTTGCCACAGGGAGCTTAGGGTGCAGGGAAAAAATCGCTCTTCGGTTTAGGGTTAAGGGTTTAGGGTTTAGGGTTTAGGGTGTGCTATGATCCACTAGAACTTGTAGGGTGACCTATATGCTTCTTGAAGAAGGGCAAGGCTCCTGAAATTGTTGAGCCACTTGTCAGATTCCCAAACCCGATTGAACTGCCCCCCAGTTGGATTCCGAGGTAACGTGCAGGGTGTACAGTGTTGGGGGTCCCGGCTGAGCGGGCGTGTGGCCCCTGCACGAAGCCGCTGACACTTGCAACTCTGACTGTATAAGATGGTGAGGATCAAGATAAGATCCCCAGGAAAAGTGAGGAATCAAAGCCCCCCCAGGCTTGAGGTGGGGCTTGGGCTCTGACGCATTCGACACAGCACTTAATCTTAATCCCTGTTCCGCTAGGAAGAAAAAAGGATCCTTTTTGCTTATATATATATAAGAAAGTCCATAACCCAAAAAGTAAAAAGGATCCCTAACACTGATTTAGTAATAGCAATCGTCATGCTGATGTTCTGATGATCTTGATGAACCCCGAAACACCTCCATCCCAGGCCATCCCATCTTCCTCTGCAAAAGCCAGGCCCACTCCCCCCGGGGCCTAACACGAAGGAGTTCCCACGGATGGCGGACAACTTCCGGGCAGCATCGATTACCTGCCGCGGCTAAGGCGCAGCGCTGTCAGCTCAGACTTGTTTCCGAGAGGCAGAACTTCGAATGTTATGTCCGTGACAGAGCAAGAATCGAAGCTGGAAGCATGCGATGCTGCAAGGGCTCTTTTGCATGGAGCCTAAGTAAAGGCTGTCAAGACTGTCTTGTTCCAGACCCTGTGTTTCGACATTCCTGTGGTGACTGAAGACGTCACACACACACAGAGACACACACACACACACACACACAGAGACACACACACACACACAGAGACACACAGACACACACACACACACACACACACAGACACACAGACACACAGACACACAGACACACAGACACACAGACACACAGACACACAGACACACAGACACACAGACACACAGACACACAAACACACAGACACACACACCACACACACACCACACACACACGACCATCACACACGCACACACACACACACACACACACACCCAGCACACACACAACACACCCACACACACACACACACACACACACACACACACACACACACCACACACACACACACACACACACACACACACACACACACACACACACACACACACAACACACACACACACACACACACACACACACACACACCACACACACACACACACACACACCACACACACACACACACACACACACACACACACACACACACACACACACACACACACACACACACACACACACACACACACACACACACACACACACACACACACACACACACACACACACACACACACACACACACACACACACACACACACACACACACACACACACACACACACACACACACACACACACACACACACACACACAAATTCAAGGGTTCGACCGGACAAAAAACAGGAAAATGGAGCACCCTCAACAGCAAGCGAAGGAGCCTTGCGCCGTGAGTCGCGAAATTGCTTGTGCCTCAGGACATTACAGGTGGCTTGGAACCAGGCCACACACCACAAGCCCATTTGCAGGTTGCCGGTCAAGGGAAAAAGCAACGACAGTTCGTCACACAAATTCTTGGGATGTCACTCCACATTTTCTACACTGATGCATGGCGTTATTCCTACTCCACGAAAGCGGCGAGCATGCAAGTTGGAACGCGACGAACAGGTCGAGGTATAATAGCATGATGCAAGGTGAGATTGCTCAAAATCGTTGTGAGTCACGATACACATGCAGGGATGCAAGTGCACTAGGTTGCACGGATGAGCAGACACACGCATCACGACATCAACAAAACTAACAAAGCACTGGATGGCACCAGATTCAAGTCAACCCGGCGACGTGTCAGTCAAAAGGTGTCGACTTTCGAGTTCCCTATGCCCAATGCTACAGGAAGACAATGCCAAGACATCTTGGTTGGCAAAGGTGATTGGGTGCAGAGGTCCTCACACTTTAGGGCCTTTAAGATCAGAAAGAAACGAATCAGGTCAGAACAAACTCAGGGGCTTTTCGGCACGGGGGTTCCTAGGCTCTGTCTGGCAAATTCCGAATGCCGCGGGATGTACCTAGTTGGCTGCTGGCCTGGTACCTTCAGAGAATCGCAACGACCATCATACCTAACCCCAGAACAAGCTGACCCTAAGCCCCTACACCTTAAACTGAACCAGGCTGGCCCTTAAAGTCTTCTGAATTCGTGAATACGAATACGACCGCCTGAAACCAAATGCGGGATGCATCACATGTCCCAACGACGTGTCTACCCTACGCGAAAACAAAACCTTGAACAACAAACATCGCTCCAGGTGCTCTTTCAGCGCCCCAAGAAGCTGCTTTTATTATCCAAAGGTACTACCTAACCTACCCTAAACACCTAGCCCTACGCCCTGGACAGTGAAGCGTGGGTTGCTGATAGATCGAATCCCAGCTGTTCATGCTCTCGGCGATGGAGGACCGCATGCTGACCATATCACTCTTGCGGTAGTGGACATGCTCCTGGGGATTGCCCCCACGGGTTGACAGCACCTGGACTTTCTTCGCTTGCTTGTTGCCTTGCCTGTTGCTGTCCGAAGGCTGGTAGATGAAAGGCTCTAACTAGGCAGGTTTGGGATTTGGGCAGAGGGTTGACAAAAAAAAACATCTTGCAGAGGCCTGAAACAGCACTTTCCACTCAAGCCGTTCCGCAATCTCGAATCAGGTCGAGGCTTCATAAGGGTGAATGGTTGAGCCGTATCATACAGGGGCCTGGAGAATGAGAAGGGGGTTTTCGGGTGTTCTTATAGCATGATTACAAAGGAAACCATAAGGGACTATTCTTGCAATTCTTCCGACCCCTGTATTGGCTTTTGGAGCCTTCGGGTTCTGGGGTTTGGTACCCTTTTTGGGGGATCACATTAAGGGGATTCTATTCTATTTGGGGTAAACAAAGGGGTACCCCTATTTGGGGAAATCCTCAAATGTGGGGCCCTTCAGGTTTTGGGGGTTCTAAGTGGGGGATGTGGCCCCAAATCTCCTCCTGGCTGAACGCCGTCGATTTGCCTTGCTCCTCGCAGCAAGAAGCCCCTTGAATAAGCCGAACCCTTAAACCCTAAATCCGAAATCCTAAACCCTGAGCCCTAAACCCTGAACACTAAACCCTGCACTAAACCTAAACCCTATGTATGAGAGTCGCTTTGTCAATCGATCTTTCTGCTGACTTGTCGCCGAGGACCATTTCCTACTTTATTCAGAGTATGAATATACAGAGTTCAATCAAGGTTTAGGTTTAGCTATAGAGGGCCATACGAGTTCGTCCAGCTTTGGCCCGGATGGGGTTTGGCGGCTCGGCCCTGTGGTTGTTTTAGATTTCGGATCTTGTGTTTTTGGGGTTCAGGGCCATAGGCTTCGTGCTACAAGACTGTGAATCCAGAGACTCGTCATGGCACCACTTACCCTCTTGAGCTCTGACAGCCACTGTACAGGGTCCGAAATTTGCACGAAAGCGTTGGAAAACCTCAACCCGGAAGCCTGAAATTCAGAACTCTACTGCCCACCCTGACCCTACACCCGAAACCCCCCCACACCCCCCCCCCCCCCCCCCCCCCTACCCCGCTCTTGTACCCTAAACCCTAAACCCCAAACCCCAAACCCTAAACCCTAAACCCTAATTCCCTGACAAAAGGAACGGTCCCTGGCTCTTGGCACGGGTGCGGGTGATGGTGGCCGAAGAGACGCGGCAGGCCTGGGCCGAAGGAATTAGGGTTTAGGGTTTAGGGTTTAGGGTTGAGGTTAGGGCTCAGGGACTCAGGGATTTAGGGTTGAGGGCTCAGGGACTCAGGGGTTAGCCAAGGCCGAGTGGGACTCATTGGTCAGCTGAACGCGCTAGTGTGAAGTCGTGCCAAGCCCAAGGCCACCCATTTCACAACTCGCAGTGACACACCATGCTGAGGCGGGGACGCGATTGTGCCAACGCGCTCCACCCTCAGGCGGTCGAGGGATTAGACTAGTTGTACGCAACAGGACATAGGTGCAGAATATGTATATCATACCATACATATTATTGGCGAGGCTTTCAAAATCTGTGTTGAGGACCTTGTGGCAGTTTCTTTGAAGAGGGCATGTGAGGAATCAGGGATTTCGGCGTTGGGTTTTGTGCCTCGTGTGTCTGACAAGTGTGGCTCAAACAGAAGGGGCCATGTATTTCGATTGAAGGGGGGGGGGATGTCCTAGCCGGCTCGCCAGTCCACATGAACACCCGCAACTCAAGACCGTGCGACCGTTTGGGGGGTGGGATCCCCGATGAAGTCAAGTCTTCCGGCCTTTGCTCCGTTTAAACTAATATAATAAGCTCATCCCTTCTAAAACCAGATGACATCCTACTTAATATGGTCAAAGTCAGGTTTGGATGTTCGGGGTCGGGGGGGGGGGTGGGGGGGGGGGGGCAGGGGGGCACACAGGGTCCAACATACACAGGGCAATAGCCATCATCAGCATCATCAGCATCATCATCAACCCTAACCTCAACCCTAGACCCTAAACCCTAAATTCATAAGTGCAGCTGCTTGTCGTGCTGGCGCTCCCCGCGGGGTTCAGCAGCGCTGCGCCGCTGGGCGCAGTGCCGCTGGGCGGAGTGCTGTTGGGCGCAATGCCGTTGCTGCTGCGTTCCTGAGTATACAGAAGGAGCTGCATAAGTGCGGAGTTCCCTATGGGTTACCTACAAATCCTGTAGATGTTTTATAACATGAAGACCTCGAAGCAGATGGTCTCTGACAGGCACAACCCAAAGGAGCCCGAAAAGAAGAGCTAGTGAACTCCGGAGCCTTTTTGTTCCCGCCGTCCTAAACTGCAGAGCTTCGGGATTTTCGGGGGCTCTGGATGGCGTTTGGGGTTGAGCGTTTTGGGGCGCCAGGGGTTTAAACCCCAAACCCCCCTAACCCTTAGAAGTTAAAACGGTTTAGGGTCGAGTGGTCGAAGGGAATTCGGGACCGAAGTAACTCAATGGCTAATCTCCGACCCCTGACCTGATCTTAGGGCACGCTGCAGAACGAAAACATCAACACCAGATTTTTCACAACTCTACTGATTAGGCACTTTAGTTGTGATAATTCTGTGACTCCCACATCCCAAACAATCCCGAGTTACCGAAAACTTTTACCCGTCTCCTTTCCAATATGCGTATTTCCCAAATTGGGGTACCACCCTCATTGTGTACCCCAAACATTGTCATATTTGCCTGTTCTGGGAAAGCCCTTTTTGGGAACACCAATAGGCTTAATTAGGGTTCATTGCTTGGCCTCAAGGCGCATGTTTCAAATTCATGTTCTATACTCCTCTCTCTTCGTTCTTTTCGCACGTGTGACTGAAGCATCGTTCCTGCCGACAGTAGCACATTGCAAAAATCTCGGTTTTGTGTGTTCGGGGTGACGCTCCGACACCGGAGTGCCCTGGTCGGGTATATTGAATGCCCTGATCGGGTATCCGTTTGGACTCGTTCCCTTAGAGGTGGGGTGCCGAGAAACCTGCCCGTGATGATACCTCCTGGGCAGGGTGGGAAAGAACACAGGAGGTGCCAGTGTGGCACTGAGCTGCAGCTGCCAGTCTGGCTTAGCTGCACGGAACGAGAACATGTTGCCAAGACCCGCAGAGTTAAGACATGCAGCAAGCCTTCAACGTGTTTCGAATACAGGTACCCCTTTTTGCAGTTTAGGGCTTAGGGCTTGAAGCCCTAAACCCCAAATTTTATTGTCTCACGTGCGTCCCCTTGTCGGCCTTGAACACCGGCCTAAGCGGCCTTAACGCCTTCGTGGCAACAGAGCTGAAGTGCCAGAAGGTCTTAGCATAAACGGGACCCCCATATGAAAGGTTTCCGAACATATCGGCTGGTACCCTTTCTGGGGCCCCTTGAGGGGATTCTATTCTATTTAGGGGTCTCAAAGGGGTCCCCCTAGTTTCGTAAACCCCTATATCCCAAAAGAACACACAAAGCCACTGAGCAGGTGGGGTTCCGATGGCTGGCCGCGCATCCGCTGCTCGGCTGCTGCCAGCTCCATTCTGGTCGTAGCGCTCAGGGTTCCCTAAACCCTAAACCCTAAACCCTAAACCCTGAACCCTGAACCCTGAACCCTGAACCCTGTAAGCCCTAAACCTCTAAGGTCGAAGCGCTGAACCCTGCAAGCCCTCAGCAATCAGCCTCAGTGAAGTTGCGGCTGACTTTGCTTACTGTGCTTTCGGGCAGACTGTAGTAGTCTACAGTGCTTTCGGCTTACTGCAGGGCTTAGGGCTGATGATGGCTTCTAGGGTTTCGGGTTCAGGGTTTAACAGGCCTCTAAGGGTGGCTGCCTTCAGTTGGCTTCGAAAGTTGCAGCCCCAAACCCTAAACCCACAAAAAAAACCCAAACCCTAAACCCCAAACCCTAAACCCTGAACCCTAAACCCTAAACCCCAAACCCTAAACCCTAAATCCTTCGGCCTCACTGCCTTCGGAGAAGGTGGCCGGTCAAGCATGAGCTCCCGGTCCCTGGTTGAGGACTCGCGCTCTGCACGGTCCCGTTCTGCCCTCGCGAACTCGGACTGGATAGTGTCCTGGGCATCGGATCTGTGGGGCTTAGGGTTTTAGCCCTAAACCCTAAACCCTAAACCCTAAACCCTAAACCCTGAACCCTGAACCCTGAACCCTATTCTCAAGGTTTAGGGCTATGCTGAAGGCATCCATGAAGGGGAACTGGTCCCGGCTGCTGGCGCCAAGTGGTGCTAACTTTGAGAGGTATAGGAAGGCCTAAACACCGAGGCCCATGAGCCCCTGTTGAAAGCCTAAACCCAGGACCCCGTAGCCCAAAACCCCCGAACCCTCTGAAACGGCCCGAGCGTCCGAGATGGTCAAGGTCAGCTGGTTGGCCATGGATTTCAGGACCGCAGACCTTGCAGCTCGGTGATCACATGAAAGCGGACCGCTCTTCGGAATGGCACTGCCCTAAACCCTAAACTCCTAAACCCTAAACCCTGAACCCTAAGCCCTCAAGGCCCAGGTATCCCAAAGAGCCGGAACTCAAGCCATGCGCCCATAGGGCCGTCCGAGTCGCTGCTTGGCAAATTCGGTCTCGACGAATTTCCGAAGAGACTGCCTGCACACGATGACTGCATGGTGTGATTTGTTTAGGATGTTGCGAGCCTCGTCCTTGTCCAGGCCTGAGGCTTGATTTTAGGACTTAGGCTGAACTGAATTTGAGGTAAAGAGCACAACTAGTGCACGCGAGCCGGCGGGTGAAGACAAATATTCATCCTACCAAGACCCCTCAACTCCAACCCCTAACAAAAACTCGAATGGCCCTGCCTTTCATGCATTGCAATACTCTCTTGGTCCAGCTCCTCCCCCATGGATGGGAAATCCTCCATGGCCGCGGCGCGGATCCCACGTCACCCTGCTACAGCAACTGCAGACGGGATCAGACGCTCAAGCGATGAAGAAGGACGCTACAGGCGATGATGAAGATGGAAAGAAGGAAAACGGGAAAACTGTGCTGCCATAGTCTGTCAGGTGAGAGAAGAGGCGTGGATGCATTTTGGAAGCCATGTGGTGTCGTCAGAGTCTGCTTGAAAGGCTGCAGTGTCAGACAGACTATTGGTCCCTAGGGAATCGCACAGGCAACGGGGCGGTACAAACTCAAAGCAAGAAACTGCTCAAATACTGTCGAGGGTATTGCCGCGGACGGGGATTTAAGGTTCTTTTCGGGCCTGGACTTTGGGCCAGGGAAGCGACCAGTGTGCGTGACTTCAAGAACTGGAAAAGTGCCCCAAGCCATTGCCACAGTGCCACAGCCCTATCCCCTTCATCCCCCCAAAAAAAACCCTTTCAACCTTCGGCTGAAACTCCCGGGAAGGCCGACTCGGACCTTGCACCCCTAAACCCTAAACCCTAAACCCTAAACCCTAAACCCTAAACCCTAAACCCTAAACCCTAAACCCCTGTCAGCCAATGAGTCCCATCTTTTGGGCTCATGCATTTGAGGCTTTGACGTCGTCACCGACCGGCTCGGTTCTGGATGCCAGATCTCTCAACTGCTCTTGGGACCTCGTCCTCATTAGACCAAACCCAAGCATTCAGCTCATCCCTCGGTTTTTGCGTTCAAGCGTTGGTGGCTCATGCAACCATTCGATCCCTACTTCGCACGCACAGAAAGACAGCCACACCCAAAGAGCATCCTGGGACTCCCCTGCGGTCAAGAAACCCTACGAAACCCTAAGGCCTTTATAGCCAGAGTTCAGAGCTTTATAAGAGGCGCCCAGTCCCTCCAAAGTGTCATGTGGGCCACCATCAATAGATGATGACAGTGGGCGAGACAAGGGTTTCGAGCTTCAACACAGATGCCCTGAAACAGTTAAACATGTTTAGATCCTTGGGTGGGCGGTCCTCGTCTACAAATATACATTATACATGTTTATTCTGTGGTGTGTATATATATATGTGCATACGTATACGAATAGGTATACAGTATTGCAGTGGTCAGGTGCAACACATGCATGATATGACTAGGTTCTGACTATATTGGCTTGTAATCCCCGCTCCCGAAGTGTCCTCGCAACCACGCCCACGACCGGTAGGTCACGGGCTGGCATATGTATGTATAAAAAGAAATACATGTATGTATGTATATATATATATGTACAGAGACAGAGCGAGTGCGTGAGTGACGACTAACACAAAACAACAGAAACACAACAAAGAGAGAAAGGGAGACATAGAGTGAGCGAGAGAGAGAGAGAGAGAGAGAGAGAAAAGAGACTGAGAGAGGAGAGAGTCAGAGAGCATGAGGGCGTCCACACAAAGTCCTTGCGCGCACTTCTTTAAGATGCATATGGTGCAGGCTGACGTGCGAAATCTGCTGTAAAGGTCTGTAGGCTAACCACGGCACTCCAAACGTTTGAATTCCCCCGGCCCCCCTCACCTCCTCACCTCCTCACCCCTCCCTATCACCACCAAAATCAAGTCCGGAAGCCCTGTTTGCTGCAAGAGATGCTGCGGCCGACCTGTCTCTGATCTGTCATCCAGAATCCATCAGAAGCCAAGATGGTGTCGGCGAGAGCTCATCGGCGAGAGCTCAGGGGCTGCCATTATGACCCAGAGAACGCCCTTATCAATTATATGTTCATACGGCTTTCTTATTAGCTGAAAAGACTAGTGACTAGTATTCTTACCATCTTCATTCCCTGATTATTTTGTAGAGATCTTTTCTTTCTCTTCATGCGCATTCATTTTTATAATATATGGTACCCTTACAGTCTTCTAATGGAAGTCTTATTGGGTCTCTGGTTGGCTTATAAATGAGTTTTAAGGACGTCATTTGCTCCCGTCATTCTATTAATATTCAATTTATCTTGTGCAACTTTCTTATGTTAATGGGTGCAATGCAAGACTGTATATATGCATATGTATATATATATATATGTGTGTGTGTGTGCAACATGTGTAAAATGAGATAGTATATATATATATATAGGCATATAGGCCTATAGGAGAACCTGCGCCGTACTTTCCTCAAGCATCGTCAGGCTTTCAGAACCTAGGAGTGCTGTGTCTTTGTTCCTATCCAAGACTAAATCCAACACCTCCCAAAACTTCAACCTTACCGCAGCAATGGGCAGGAGTTGAGGGCCTCAGCGAACATCGGTGTTGTTCTGTGGAATGGCTTGCCGCCACTAGGTTCTGTGGGACCCTGATCTCGGCTGGTTGTTCATAGGTTTCTCAGGTGGTCATTAGGGCAGCTTTCACCCTGGAGAAGCCAGGGGAGGTAAATGACTTCGGTCGCTGTCAGCGCTTTTCCTTGGGTTGCATTTGGGCTTAGGGTCGAGGGGTTTGGGTTTAGGGTTCAGGGTGAACGCATGTGAACGCTGAACGCGCAGACGGCCAGCTTTCGGCCCTCGGCCAGCGACTGGGACCCAACATGTTCACGCGCACACGCGCAACAACTCAACAGTCCATATGCGATGCAATTCTGCAGCCGCAAGCAGTTACATCAATGACCTGTGGCCTAGTGCTCACAGGCCACTTCGGCGGGGGCAATGGGCTGTGCCCTGCTTGGAGTTTCACGGTCTTGGGCCAAGAGCATCCTGAGGTTCATACAGGTTTAGGGTTTAGGGTTTAGGGTTTAGGGTTTAGGGTTTAGGGTTTAGGGTTTAGGGAACTTTGTATCGGGAACTTCAGGGTTCAGGGTGATGCCGAATACTGCAACTACAGCCCCATTGCAGAGATTACCACCCTTGGGGTGGTTGCATGCTGCCTGGGCATCTTCAAAGCAGTTTTTGGAGCAGAAACACATCTGCAGTGCCGCAGCTTGGAAAACTCCACCCCCCCAAATAGATCGGGATGGAGGTGTCGGATTTCGATCGCGATCACACCTGGAAGCTGCCAGCACAGAGGCCAAAGGGCACAGTAGGCTGAGGAGACGCGCCCCAGTCCCTAGCTATATTTTTCTGTGGAATATTATGACTCCTCATGGCCCCCTAAACCCTAAACCCTAAACCCCATTGGAACAAAGCCTCAGCCTCCGACAAGTTCTCCGAAGAATCACAAGCTCTCAGAGTGCGCTCTGCCCCTGAGCCTGCTGAGCTCACGCACCTTTCTCAATCAGGCTTTTAGGGTTTAGGGTTTGGGGTTCAGGGTTCAGGGTTCAGGGTTTAGGGTTTAGGGTTTAGGGTTCAGGGTTTAGGTTTTGGGGTTGTCCAGGTTTACGAGAAAGGAATTTAAATGGGGATAGGGATACTGGCATTGGGCTCATTGGACGTTGACACTGAACAAAGGGGCACCAATTTCGTCGGGCGTTTGCTTGCTTTCTCGCTTGCTCGCCTGTCCGACGCTTGATTGCTTGACAAAACACAAACACGAGCAAACAACATACACCGAGAAGATACCGATCTCCCTTTGCTACTCGATCAAATCCTCCGCGAATGGCTCAATAGAAACAAGAAGGGAATGAAGACCCAAAAGAAGCATTAGAACTGGTGCCTAAGTGCTCGATGTCAGTTTTCGGAACCCTGGCTGCTCTGCAACTTACAAATTCAGGGGAGCCAAAGGAAAACACAATCCCCAACGATCTCGGCTCTGCGCTATGGCGCATCTGCGCTGAGGGAATCAAAACCAAACGCCCAAATCGACTCCGCCAGGTAGCTGGAAGGTAGGGAGGGTGTTGTGGTTGCTGCTTATATTGGCTTTTTCTGGGGCTTAAGCACTGCCCCAGATCCTGCAGCCGTTTTGACCTTTGACCCTAAACTCCAAGCCATCTATCTTACACCCCTAATTCCCTAAACCCAAAGCACGAAATCCCTAAAATTCTAGCCCTCAACTCTTCAGGGCCCCCGCCTCCTTTGACACTGTCCGCACTTGCTCCAACCCTGGGCCCGAGGACCAGGCTCAAGGGATTCAAACGTTTAGGGCTTTGAGTGGCATGAGAGTCTGTAAGGCCTAAGGTTGAACAATTTAGGGTTTAGGGTTTAGGGTTTAGGGTTTAGGGTTTAGGGTTTAGGGGCTTCAGGAAATGCAGTCGGGGGTTTAGACTTTGGAGTTTCACGGGCTTACGGAAAAAACTAGGGACCTTTAGGGCGTACACCACGAGATATAATGGCCTTTCCAAAGCACTTGTGGCGGTAATCTCATTAACGGATGTCATTTACCGTCCCTCAGCACTAGGTACACCTTAGGGCAGCACAAGAGCTCTAGATTGATAGGCTGTCATCCTTACAGAGTCGGTGCGCCGCCTCTCCAAACCCTAAACCCTTGCTGCTGCAAGCCCAGACAAGTTGCGTTGAAAAACTTTCTTGACATCCATCCGAAGGTGCTTCAGCTCCTTGCAGCTACCCGCAAGGAAATTCATCGACTAATTACCGCCTCAGCTGAAATGGGCACTTCCGCCAATTCGCCTCCCTTGGGTCCCTTGAAGCGGGTTCTACTAGACTTGGCGCTACAGATACAGGGACCCTGGTGGTTGGGTACTCCCAAACCAACTGGCGTGTTCAGAGCATTCCTTTGCACGTTGCATAGCACCCTGAGATTCCAGAACTCGTGTCTAACCAGGCATTGAGCACATGAGCTGCAAGAACCCTGCTGTTGATACCGCCAAAGGGGTGGAAATGGGACCCTCTGAAGCACATCTGTCCGAACATCCTAATTGCAAACACGGCTGCATTGAGGATGAAACAAAGCATGTTCAGATGCCGACGGTGCATGAGTCAGAGCAAACGAGAACCATAAGAAGTACCGCAAGCAACAAGTGGTCCTTGCGAATGATCGTGTTCTCATAGCTCATCCTGGCCTTGACACCGGGTCTACACAAGCACACATGCTTCTATGGTGGGGGCAGGGGTGCGGGGGCGGCCCTAAATACGGGTTACATGTGTGGACCCCCCCCCCCCCCCCCCCCCCCCCCCCCCCCCCCCCCCCCCCACCAAAAAAAAAAAAAAAGAACCAAGTGGCAATCTGTAATCCCTTGGCGGGGCCCTGTAGCTGCATGCAGCCATAGACGAACTCATCCTGCAGCTTCGCGGTGAGTATTAGGGAGAGAAGGTAGGGTTTCAGGTTTAGGGTTTAGGGTTTGGGGGTTTGGGGGGTTGGGGGTTTTTGGGTTTAGGCCTCACAAACCTTAAACGCCTCAACCCACATATCCCAAACCGTGCAGCCCTGAACCCTGCAACAAACATCTTTCCGATGCCGAGCTTTGCAGCGCCCAACATAAGACACCCACCAGATAGAAACGCGCCGCTGCACCGTAAAATGCCAACCCCCATCCCCACAGTCCAGCGTGATCTCGCCACTGCCATCTGCGTCAATAACCCTGGTGGCTGTTGCAGTTTTTTCGGTTCATGCCATTCCCGTGAACCTGACAAGTCTAAGCTTACCGGTCTATGGCTCCTTCGGTGTGCTTTTTGAGAGGGGGGGGGGGGGCGAGAGAATCCAGCGGTCTATCGTTGCCTGCCTGTACATATCATGCAGCAAACGCACTGTCCCAAACGCTTTTGGGCTACTTTCGTCAATACTCGAAGCGTTTGTGCATGCTCTGATGGCAGGCTCGCTGACCAACTTGCCACCCCAAATCCTCACAAGCGAAGAAGTAAGATTCCTTTCGAAACACACGGCCCCTCGTGAGGATAAGACGAAGCCGTAAAGCCCCAAACGCCCACTTGCAGGCGCATCACATGAAGAGGGTGAACACATCGTTTGTGGAGATATCTAGCCTTGGCCACGGAACCCCTCTCGAATCGGAAGGCTTCGCAGAGCTTCAAAGTGCTTTGGGCTTTCGGAACATCGGGATATAGGGTTTTGGGTTTAGGGGCCGTTAGAGGAGTTTAACGTTTTGGGTGTTTGACGTGGCCATCGGCCGGGCGGGCAAAGCAGCCTACAGAGCCAATATGAATCCTGCAGCCCGATGATCCATCAGCCATAAACCCTGTAAATCCTGTAATCTCCACATGATATAAGCTTCAAACCAAAGGTCATCATCCGAAGGTCCTTACAGAGAACGACCGGCCCTTTGCCGATCCCAGGTGTCCCGCAAACTGCAAAGTTCTCAACAGCGTGGGGTTTAGGGCTCAGGGCAGTCCATGGGCTGAAAATATGATGCGGAATTACCGCAGAGCTCGGAACCCAAACGCATGCTACCGGAGGCCGCAAGGTAAATGCTTCAGACAGGCGTCGACTGCATGAAGCTGGACATCTTCTGCCCTTTCATCGCCTCCTTTCAGTTTGACTGCGAGTGGCTAAATCCCATCGTTCCTGAACCTCCTGAACCATCAACCCTAACCCCAAGCAGGGTCTTCTACGCGGCTTCGCCTTTAGCTCCACGACAGTGATCACGTTGGATCCATCCTTGGGGCTGGTCACAATCAGGGGGATGGGAGCTTGAGAGGGTTCATCAAAAGACTGGGAGGTGTAAAGTGTTGGGTTTTGGGTTTCGGGTTTCGCTTCGAATTGAGACATTTTGAAGCTGGGGTGGTGCTTGATAATCTCATGGTCTCTGGACTTGAAAACCAAACCCTCACTCTCGACACAACATGGAGATGCACAGAAGGACAGTTTTCATGAAAGAGACAAGTGCAGAACATATGTGAACCAAGAGATTGAGACCCTCGAAGTCACCATAGCTAGCTGCATTTGAACACAAACCAGTTCCGACACAACAGCTGAATGTGCAGGCCGAATGAACTTGTCGGCTGTATTTGTATGGCCGGCTGTATATGGTCCAACGCCACCGCATTCCTCCCCCGGAAACGGCACATGGCCTGATGAAGGAGGCCCTCGCTTGGCAAAATGTAGCCACATGTTGGTGACGTGCTGCAAGGTGTCAGCCCATTACCGAAGCCCACTGCCTAGCCCATCTGAAAACAAGCCCGCCAACAGCTGAAGTTTTCTTCACCCAGATCCCCAAAAGCACCCTGGGTGCCTCCACCCCCCCAGTTCGAAAGCCTTCCAGTCGTGGCCGGGGAACCAAGTCGATCTCGTGGAAAATCTCGCGCAGGGATTCGACCTGCGCCTGCTGTTTTGGGGGGATCGGGAATGGCAATGGTAGAATAATCGCTTCCCCCTCATACCAAACCCCCCCCCCCCCCCTAATTTTAAATATTTATTTTCCCGGACCCTGCCGGCACCCAGCCCAATACTAAACCTGTTTAGGGGGGGAGGGGTTCAGGGCCTTCGCCCTTGAGTTGAGCCATTAGGGTTTCAATGTTTAGGGCTGAAGGCTGACAGGATTAGGATCCAAGGCTCAGGGCTTGGAGGGTTTAATGATTAGGTTTCGGAATTCAGGCTTTAGGATTTATAACCCCCCCCTAATTTTAAACATTTTTCGGGCCCAGGCGAATTTCAGAATTAGGGAGGGGGGGGGGGACGGATTTAGTATTAGGGGGAAGGGATTAACATCATAGCATCATACAATCAGAATAATAAAAAAGATCATATATTCATATCATAGTATAAGAATATAAGACATACGTTTACGGGAGTTGCGTCCTTAAGGTCTAGGCCTAGGCTTTGCAGTGGCCCACGGACAGCAGCACCCTGCACAAATCTTGTGTCCGCCTCGTAGCCAGAACCGCACCCTCAAGGTGAACACTTGGGTTTAGGGTTTAGGGTTTAGGGTTTAGGGTTTAGGGTTTAGGGTTTAGGGTTTAGGGTTCAGGGTTTTTTGTTTAGGGTCTGAGCCTGCAACCCCCTCACTTCCCACACCCCGCAGTGCTTTAGGATTGGGAAAAGTAATTCCCATGAACCACCGCAAGTGAACAAATACTTGCCAAATTTGGTTAGTGATCTTCCCTTTACCCGAAAAGGTTGCGATCCTCACATTCGAGTGAACTTCAAGAAAAAGAGCCCGGCTACCCCAAAAAACCTCCTGTGTGTTTTGACCCGATGCCCAGACAAGCCTCATGTTTGTGGATTTGCTGCATGATAGCAATGTCCTGTGGTCAGAAGGTCAGGCTCATGGAAAGGTTCTATGGTGTGTCTACCGGGCATCGAATTTCGCGGGCAGCATGCCAAATAGCTATGCTGTGTTGATGTCCTACAGCTTTGTCAGCTTATATTCTTGCCATGGGAATCTTGGCGGACGCTGCTACTGAACCGCACTGTGCTGAAAGGGGGAAACCTGGTCCCCAGAACTTGCAAGTGAGCTCCGTCCTTGTCTGCCCGCGCTGATTCTATGGCCATGTTGCAGAACACACCAGTGACCTGAACTTCGCAAAAGAAGAAGAAGAATGTTAGACTATGACGAATGCCACACAGGGATCGCCCCCGGGCAACACGCCTGACCTGAACTTCGCAGCATCAAAAAAAACCTTTAGACATCTCGAAGACGGGCGAAGCCAAAGGAAGGCGCCGAACTGAACTTCGCAAAACTATAACTAATTGTGTTACGGCGACACAGCCCCCGAATGGACTGGACGCCACTGTAAAGGCCCTCAAGGAGGACAAGCACTGGGACCCCCCCCCCCCCCCGGCAAGATGCCATTTTGCAAGCTGCAATCAGAGCAAGCAGGAACCTCATACTGGCAATGAGGCAAGCGACACATGTGCCACTGTTTCTTGTTACGTGTCATTTGCCTTCGCCAAACAGTATCCTCGACTTTAGCATCCCAAAAAAGTGCAAAACCTCAATGCAATCTAGTCCGATGAGTTGGCCGTCAGGCGGTCTATCATACCTTTAGCGGAGGACTACTTCATGGACCTAGACCATCGTGAAACGGCAAAGGTCTAGAGGCCTGGGGGTCTTAGCACATGTCCAGCAAACGTGGTCCCAAGAAGGGGCCACGTCAGTCGAATAACTTCGTGTATATATATATATATATATGGGTTTGTGCCAACAGAGTGGATAAGACACGACGTGTGGACTCAATCCCAACTGTGGAAAACGAGCTCCTGTGCCCGATCGTCTCATTGACCTGGCTCAGATGCGGTAAGACTTTCGCCCTTAGCAACCCAACCAAACCGACCTTGAAGCAAGTCGGGTGGACGACGAGGGCGGGGCAGAGCGAAGCTCACTCTAGGGGCATTCCCACGCCAAGTGCGACCGGTGGCCAGTGGCCTAAACGACGACACCAAAGGCAACCGTCATCGGGAACGTCAAGTCTTTCTTTGAGCCTCGCAGGACTCACAACCCGCTCCCCAAGGCAAAACTGCGACTGGACCAGCAGGGTCTCCTTGCGATGCTGCAATGCTACAAGTCGTCAGTTCTGCAGCAACATGACCTTGGTAAGAATGCCAACGCTTTATGCTTGGACCACATCTGTGCAGCAAGAACGACCAAACAAGCATGGAAGCCAGCGTGTTGCAGCATCTGCGCCGAGGCAGCAGGTACACTTGCTGTGTATCAAGACTCGGCACGAACCCGTTGTTGCTGTGCAACTTTGCCGGCCGGTGCTTGCGCATACCCACAAGCATCCACAAGCCACGTCAGGATGACATTGGCAGTCCAAGCACGACTTTGTGCGCAACAGGTATCAAGACACGCCACGACACGATGAGGACCGCCAGGGGCCGAGTGTCGTCAGGGCACTTGAGGATCTTCTGGTCCCTCAAGAAGACGCAACGAGCATGGAGGAAACGGGCTTTCGGCAACCTTTTGACTAAGGCATGGTGCCACTTCCAGACTTCCAAGGGCAGGTGTCTCATGGATCACTTGCACACAGTAATCCTCAAAGTCTCGGCACTGTTGCGCTCAGCCTGGATAGAGTGATGGCATCATCCATTCCTTGGGCCTGCTGCATCTGTGCCGGACAAAGCAACAGGCGAGTTACGGCGAGTTGAGGGCCTTGGCCTGCAAGTTGTGGCAGGAGTGTGCCGCTCGCCCACACGAGTTTCAGAAGTTTCGCGCATCCCGCGGAGCTCGGCGAGGACGCTGCGGAGTTTACTCGAAGCAAAAACTGCCAATATTTTTTTGGGGTCAGGGTGATTCGGGGAGAGGCAGGTCGAAGCACAAAATCACCCTTGCGGGGTCTGTCGTGAAAGCTTGGATAAACTTCACAGGCAACATCTAGCTTTGCGCAAGGCAAGTTCGTATTCGATAGAGAGGGCGAACCACAAGCAATCAGCTTCATCCTGGTCGGTTTAGGGTTTAGGGTTTGGGGTTTAGGGTTTAGGGTTTCAATGGTTTCAGGACAAGGTGAGGGGGGGACCAAGCGGGACCACTCTTCAAGACACAGCTCCTGCCAACAAGCGCTGATGCCTAGTCATAAAGTGACATCTCTTACTTGATGCCACTGAGATATCGCCACAAAGTTGAAAAGCCCTACACCCTAAAACCCTTTAAACCCCACACCCGCAACCCTATCAGCCCTGTGTCCACCCTCCTGGGGCCGCCGGCAACATTCAAAATCGCCAGCACTGTGATCACAATGTACATCAGCAAGCCGATCACCGCCTGCGCGAAACTCCGGGGGGGCAGGGGCTTCAGACCCGCAAACCCTTAAGAATTGCGAAAATCTTATATAAACCCCATACTACCCTGTTACTACAAAGATGCTGTAGAAACCCAATTCTTCCAAGCTCGGCATGGGCTCCTGTCTGCAATATACCCTCACGGCAGAGCTTAAGCCAAGGGCTGTAAGTTTTTTGGATCTTGCTAGATGTACCTCTTGCCTGCCTCTGAAAGGGAGTTTCGGTGAGAGCGTAAGTAGAATCTTTACCTTGGGCTTGTGGTCTAGCAACGAAGAGATTGCTCGCCTTCAGCAAGTTCTGTATGGGGTTTAGAGCCCAAGTATGACGCATGGCTTAGATGTGGAGTATCGAGGTGAGGGCTTTGGGGGCCCTCTCCCCCACACAAAAAACCAAAACAGCATGACGAGAGAGCAGCTAGCCATGGCATACCCACGCCCGTCTGAAACAAAAAAGAGACATACTCCTGCCAAAGGCACAATCTCCGAGATGGGGCGCAAGGGCATCAGCGCATCGTTCCAGCTCAGCCCACCAGTGATGGCCATGAGCAGCCTCGGCTGTTGTGAGAAAACCCTCAAGCCTAAGCCGCTTAAGCCCTGTATCCTATTGTATACACCCCGCTCTGGTACATGTTGGAGAACACCCACATTGCTGTATTCATTGTTGCATTTTTGTCTTGTTAATTGATGTCTACAAGGGGAATTTATCTAAATTGATTTTGACTAATTTCAGTTTTTTGAATTGAATTTGATCCATTTAATGAACTATAATCATTGTTGATTAACTTTGAAAAATTTGAATTAGTTTTAGGCAATTTTCATTGAGTTTAAGTAAGTCTAAGTAATTTCAATAATTATAGATAATCTTTACTAATTTCGTTTCTTAAGTCATTTGAATTAACTTGAGTTAATTTGAATTAAGTTTAGTTAGACTGTTTTTGAGCTTTGAATTTTCATGAATGTTATTAAGGCGGGTCTGCGCCGCAAGTAGGGGTTCAACGTGAGTGATCAGAACTGTGAGCTTAGGGCTTACTGGGGTCATATAGTTGAGGGTCTATAGGGTCCGACTTACATAGATAATATGTATATACACATTTAGGGTTGAGTGATGAACGTGTAGAAGCTGTCACGCGATGTGTCTCATCCCAGATGCGTTAGCATGGCCTCTGGTACGCTCGACCAGTAATGCAGCAGCTTCCCGAACATCGCCTCGCATTCTCAAGCGGGCGAGGCGGTCATGTAGGCATAGAGGGAGCTGACAATCCCTAATCACAAACCCTAAACCCTCATACCCTATGCCCTAAACCCTGAAACCCAAACCCTAAACCCTAAACCTCCGGGGAATGTAACGTGTTTGAGAGAAGAAGGAAGGGAAGACCACTCATTTCTTCTGTCTTTTTGCAGCTTTGGCTCTTCGTTAGCGCAGTCCTGGGGATCTTCGGAATGAAACTTCACTTGTCTGCAGTGGTCACTGACCTCAGAGCTCGGGGCGCTGCTTGAAGGGTCGGATGAGTCAAAGGAGTCGCGCAAGCGTTAAATATTAGGGGGTGGAGCGACCGCATCGAAACTCCGTGTTGCAAGGGAAGATGAGGAATCAAGATCTGGCATGTAGGGTATGTAGGGTGCCACGAGAAATGCCGATCCCCTGTTTTCCTAGGTTGTTTTCACACCAAGAGCCCAGCAGATGTCTTGAAGAGCAGGTTCGGAGCACCCCGAGCGAAATCAATCGTCTCGACTCTGAACACAGAAAGCTGTAAGTGAGATCCCGGCTTGCCCCACATGTGAAGCCCGGAATCCTAAACCGCTGTGTCTCGGAGGGCTGCAGCCGAACTTAAAGCATCAAACTGTCCTGAAGTCGGGCCGAAGCGGCCACTTGAGCTATGAGGGTACCAAACAGGTAGAAGAGGACAACGAGCAGCAGGGACGTCCAAAAGACAGAGCCCAGAGTACTGATAATGGAGAAAACGATGGTTCTCAGTGCGCTGATGTACCTGCCAGCAGGGGTTTTTAGGGCTTAGGGTTCACAGGGCTCATGGTGTTTAAAGGCTTTCTAGGTTTTTAGGGTTTACAGGGTTTAGGGTTTACAGGGTGTGTGGAAATTCGGGAAGGCCACGGCAAGGTGCGTGAGCCATGATTGCGCAGGTGGTGCACGTCTGCTATGTGTGCGCGTGCACTTGAAAACGAAGAAACTGTACACTCCTCAAGGAAGCCCAAAGAATGCCAACCACGAGATCTGGCCCCTCAATCCGGCAGTTTGCTCAAGAAGGGCCACGTTAAACCTGGCCTTTTGCCCACACACACACGCACTTGTAAGCTTGGGACGCGCCTGGGTTGCCTTGCTTGTGCCTAAGTTTTGGGGGGAAAACACCCTCATCTTGCAAGATCCAGCTTTTAGTGCAGCCATTCAGGTGAGCAACACCCGTGAAGAAAAGAGACGTTGCTTCCCGGGGGCAGTTGAAGCTCTCCTGAATCTGTTAACCCTAGAAGCTCTTTAATGCCCTATAAGGCTAAAGCCCTAGGCAACTTATACCACCACCCCTCTCCATAAGCCATAAGCCCAACAGCCCCGAGCCCAAGGGGCACCTCAGCAGCCGAATCACACGGATGCCACGCAAGGCGCGCACTAGGCGCAAGAAGCCTCTCGGACATCTTCGCTTGCGGGGCACCGCTGCAGATCTTGCTACCTAACCTCCTTTTCTGAAGTTGCTCACGTTTAAGCCGCATGCGCGCTGATCCAAAGCAGGTCCGGCCCCGAACTAATCGTGAACTCGCAAAGCCGATACACCTAGGGGGTAGCCCTAAACCCTAAACCCTGAACCCTGAAACCCTAAACCCTAAACCCTAACTTGGAGAGTCAGCTGTCGTAGCAGTTTTGCATTGACGATTGCATGGCGGCCTTTGACTAGTCCCCTCCCCCTTGTATTAACACCCCCCCCCTACCCTAGAAATAATATATAATAATATTGAATACCCACACTATAGTTACATTTGGGTATATGAGGGCGGGGGGGGTTGGGGGGTATTAGGGGGGTAGGGGGGGGGTTTAATCTTAGGGGGAAGGGGATTGTGACTAGGCATCCTCCATACATTAGCTGGTCTGCGGAACTCTCCTCCCCAACCATCGCTCTTGCGAGGCAAATAGAGGAACCCGGAACCGTGTCCCATCAACGCTTGCAGCTCTAATATTACGATGAAATATGAAAAAAGAAACGAACATAACATAGTACATGAGCAGAATGTAAAGTCAACATACTATCCGTAGTAGCAATCAATATCAAACTTGCGAGTGCCAGGCAGTGGCGGTCAACCAGCTTGTTTCTGTTTATTCTGAAAGTTTTTTCTTAATCAGGATAATGAACCCTTAAGCACAATAGGAAAAGATGGCTCGACTGGCTCGACCCAGCAGCGCATGATCCGCAGGTGGCTTGGGTCCATCTGTGTCTGGTTCGACCTTATTCGGGCTGCGGTGAGTTTGAATGACAACATCGAGAACCAGCCGCAAGCCTACATGAACCCTCAAAAGATTTCAGACACAGACACAGACGCAGACACAGACACACAGACACAGACTCACAGACACAGACTCACAGACACAGACACAGACACACCCACACACACACACACACAGACACACCCACACCCACACTCTCTCACACACACACACACACACACACACACACACCCGCGCGCGCGCGCACACACACACACACACAGACAGACTCTCACTTCAAACATTCCAAACATTCCACACCTCAGCACTTGGTCACTCGACCCCATGTGCTAAGGCTCTAGCATGTCGAACGTCACATCCACTACGCCCCGCTAAGAACTGCCGAGTGCGCCCGCTTGGACTTGGGCAATACAAGAACCCCCCAACTCAACTGCAAGACCCCGAGACCCTAAAACCTTAAACCCCCAAAACGCCTAAGCAGCACATCTTTGAGATTATTCCTTGCCAATCCAAGCCTGAGCTCATGCCTTGCTCCTATTTTGTCTCCAAACATCCACGTCAAGTTGCGACTCCAACTTGACATCTTGGTTGTTAGTACAACTATTTGTACCAATTGCAATGGTGACAGCTACTCCATTCGCTAATCGTCATGGAGAAGGCACTACAAAGTGGCTGTATCAAGGTTAATTCATGGTAACTTCCTCGGTAGCAGTAATGAGATAGAGCTGCTACCTCCAGTTATCCGCCGACATCAACCGACTGTGAGGCAAGCGGCGCCATTTCAAGCACGAACTCTGCGATCGTCTCGAAGAGAGAGAGCCCAACGATAAATAAGTCAAACCAGTTCCACCTGGATCAACGACCATGGCGATGGCGAGCTGATCAAACGATGATCATCTAAGGTCGTAGAGGATCAGGGATAACAGGTTGAGGTAGGAGCCCGGAGTTGACTGGGAGCTGAGACCACCACGTAAAAAAGCAAGGCAGCACAAGGGGGTGACGAGTCTTTGGGTTGGTTGCGACCGGATGTTCCTGGTTACTAACATGGAAACCGGCAAATTTGGAACAGCATGCCCGACAGTGGGCAAGTGAGCAATGGGCTCTTCTATGGCGAACCCCATACACTGACTCCAAAACGAAGTCGAGCAGTCTGTGGGGGTAGGCTTTCTCCGTGCCACCCCAATCCCCTGCAACCTAAATTTTGAGGCCTCAGACTCAACGGACTCATGATTTACGTCCATTCCAGCTAACAGCGTGTGTTGAGCTTCTGCGAGCCGAAAAAGAAACATCGAAGTCCTATCGGACTCACTCCACGAGCAACGTCCACATGTAAATTCTCTACGCTTCGTACCAGCCATGGCACCACTTCTCCTGGCCGCAGAAGCACTCTCGACCTTCACACATAAACTGCCAAGAGCAGCCCACAAATCATCTCACCACCCACGCATATCTACCGTGTCCATGACGGGATGGAGACTACGGAGGCCGCGGATCAGTCAAGTGTAAGTATGATATGAGAGGCTCGAGATACCACTTCACCCTGAGCTCTCACCTATGATGTTTGGGGTTTAGGGTTTAGGGTTTAGGGTTTAGGGTTTAGGGTTTAGGGTAGCCAGCTAAAGTCCAAGCCGCTGCATCACCAACACCCCAGCTCTAAACTTCCAGGTCCCTGCGATGGGGCCGAAACCACAGCCCTCCAACCCCTGTAGACCCTAATCAACAAATTGCCCCAGAATCCCTATAAACCCGGAGAATGGCCGAACACACCCCAAACCCAGGTCCTCAAACCCTGAAATCATACCTGTCTCACGGCCTGGTCTCTAGAGGCTTACAGCTCCAAGCATTAGGTGAACGTGAGGCCATCTTAATGATATTGGGCTGCTGAGGTATCATGCGTTTAGGGCTGTGTGTTTCGAGGCCCTGACCGGGACAATTCTGTAGCAACATGATCCTCACCAACGACGAGCGGCACCCAAACGCGACCACCTTCAGGAAGAGCTCCACAATGAAGATGATGACAATGACGATATTCCTTGATTGAACACATGGATCCCTCTTTCTTGGAGGGAAAAGAAGAACCCAGCACTGGGCGAAACCGATCATCAGGGTGGTTGTGGGGCCGAGAGTTCCACACCCACCAGTTTCGAGAACTTCAACCATGTCGTGACAAAACAGCCTCCTCCGGGGGGTATCAAGTGCTCCACTAGCCGCAGCCTACTACGGCAGTGTGCAGGATGAGGTGAGTGAGTAGAGGCCCATGGCTCCGAAACTTTCGGTCCGGGAATGTAAGCTCAACGACAACAGCAAGCCTGAATCCCAATGAAGCACCCCGAGGCACATCCAGTAGAACTCGCGTGGGTCTTCCCCCGGTGGCAACGATCGTGTATAGTCGACCTCCAAGTCTCGGGTCAGGCCCTAAGCCCTAGAAACCCTAAACCGGACCGGTGTTCTCCTGACCAGATCTTGTCACCCACAGTGGTGTGAAACCGACATTTGATGACAAAACAACTTTGAGGACTCCAAGAACACTAAGTGGCACGTGCCAGTCGACACCCCTTCCACATCAAGACGGTTTGGCTGACTTCTCTCACCGCCGGAGTCACCTTCCAGACCACGACTGTGGCATTTCTGGCACTCCGCAAACCTCCCAAGCCCGTATTCCCTGAACCCATGAACCCCACAGACCTCGATGCCCAGGAGCACAAGGTTCAAAAAGATGACGGTGGCCATGGCAACCTGATGGCAGCAAAATTAGAGCTCAGGGCCCAGGCTATAGGCAACACAAAATATGATAACCTAGATGGTGTGTGTGTGTTGCACACTTCCCGTGACCTCTATAACTGACTGGCGAGGTCGGACACTTCGGATCGGCTGCACGAAGTGTTTTTTAAATTTTAGGCTGGGATGACTCACGGGCTTCTTGCATTGGTGCAGTTCTGTCAAGTCTGGGCTTTAAGGTGCTCACTGCACGACGGGTTCTACGAACGACATGAACTATGTGCACGGAAGCCCTTCTGTCCTCCACAATCATTTTCCCCTGAACCCTAGCCCCTCCCCCCTCCCCACACCCGCACACCCTTACTAAGACCCTTACCAAAGCCTCGAATCCTAAACCCTGAACACACAGCCCTGAAAGAAGCCCGGCCAGGCCTTGAAGGACGTAGATGTTACGAGGCGGCCGGCGATGGACTTTGGCTCTTGGTCCAGGAGGGATCCTCGAAACTTGGGGCTTCGGTTCCATCCTGAAACCTACACGTCAGACCTCAACCCTGGCTTAAGGTCTTCCGGAGGAACCTTCACCTTAAGAGTTCTCTCTGAAAAAAAAGCATTGGGAGTGGTAGATTATACGTTTCCCAAAGCTTCCAGAAGGCTGCAGGTAGATGTTTGCGGCAGATGTGTTTTTCGCGACGCCCTTGCCCAACCCAGCCATCATGTCAGGAGGAGGAGGAGGATTCTTGCCCCAGCAGAACCAGTTCAACATTATGTTCCCACAAACCTAAGAAACTAAACAAGTGTACACTATACGTAAACATACCCCGATAGGTACAATAGGGTACCAGTCGGGGCAGTTGTACTTAAGCTCGCAAGATCAGCTGCCGTGGGATAGCTAGGATTGATTTTGGACATTGGCCGGTGCCACCGGAAAGGGGGGGGGGGGGGGTGCGTGGGAGGGTGTTTGTGTGTGAGAGAGAAAGAACGCGTGTGAACGCGTGCTTGCGTGTGGGCGTGGGCGTGGGCGTGGGGGCGTGGGGGCGTGGGGGCGTGGGGGCGTGGGGGCGTGGGGGCGTGGGGACGTGGGGGCGTGGGGGCGTGGGGGCGTGGGGGCGTGGGGGCGTGGGGGCGTGGGCGCGTGGTCGTGGGCGCGTGGGCGTGGGCGTACCTGCAACCGGCCAGAAACCCCTGTAAACCCTTATAGAACCCAAACCCTCGCACAGCGTCGATACGAGGTGACGGAGGTGGCAGACTCGGACTTCAAGGTGGAGAGCTTCCTGGCCGCTTCCACAGCCTGGTGCTTCAGCTGGGACCCACAAGCACTGTTGCTATGAAGGAGCTTGCAAAGAACAGATGAAGTCATCAAGGGTGTCGTTGTTGTTCACGAGAACAAGGGAAAAAAGCAGGCTTTAGCATTCACGACAGTGAGAAAGAGCGAGCAGAAACAGTCATGGCAACAAGAACCATGGCAGCTACTACTGGTGATAGCATTGGCTAAAGATTGGTTGCAGAGAACTGAAATTCTGGCACCGGAGTTCGGGTTTAGGTTTTAGGTCTTCAGGCTTAGGGTTCAACACCAACAACAGCCGTTCACCCTGAAACCTGCCGATCTCCCAAGGCATCCCCAAAACCTCCTTAAGGACTCAGAACCCTCAAGCCGCTGAAGCCCTAAGCGCCATCAAGAAACCGACCGCGTTGAAAAAACAAAAAGAACACTGGAGCTGGCCCCGCCCCCCTCTCCCCCTCCATAAGCCTTCACTTGGTGCTCCTTGTGGGTGCCCTTGAGGTATATGGAATCCCACGAGCTGCCACCTTTATCCTGATTGGGTTTAGGGTTGGCCTTACACTGCTTTGGGTTTAGGATTTGGGGGTGGGGGGGGGGGGTCGAGTTGTCTTCAAGAAAGGTTCTGAGGGCACCAAGAGCTGCCCAGTGCCTTGTGGAAAATTGGGGAGGGTGGGGGGGGGGGGGGGGGTTGGCTAATGAAAAATTAGGGACGAGGGTTTCCTCACACATTCCTAAACAACGACAAACCCTAAACACCCACCAAAATGCCCCTGCACACCAAAGATCCCTAAATCCCAGATCCCAAAGCCCCCCGAAACACCCGAGATCCCTCGTAATTGGGACCAAGGTCCTAAACCCTAAACCCTAAACCCTAAACCCTAAACCCTAAACCCTAAACCCTAAACCCTAAACCCTAAACCCTAAACCCTAAACCCTAAACCCTAAACCCTAAACCCTAAACCCTAAACCAAGGCGAGCTTCTGTGTGCTGGATTGTGACCAGGGAGCTGATGGTAGTGGATCGGTCTGCTCAGGCAACTACTTGGGGTTTTTGAGCGGACTCCTGGGTTTAGGAGTTTAGCTAAGGGTTTTGGGTTTAGGAGTTTAGGAGTTTAGGAGTTTAGGAGTTTAGGAGTTTAGGAGTTTAGGAGTTTAGGAGTTTAGGAGTTTAGGAGTTTAGGAGTTTAGGAGTTTAGGAGTTTAGGAGTTTAGGAGTTTAGGAGTTTAGGAGTTTAGGGTTGAGGGTGCTTCAGGGATTCGGGGTTTTAGGGTTCGGGAGGAGGAAGGCGAAAGGCACGCACGGCACCACCTGAGGTCAAAGCTCGGACGTGCGCGCGACAGTGTGTCCGAGCTGTTCTACTGCAGCGGTTCAAATTGATGCCTTAATGATTAGAATAGGGTTTTTTGGGGGGGGGGGGGATAGTATAACTAAGAAGGGACCACATAAGACATACTATTAACTAGTAATTATTCCGACCCCTATAGAGTTCATCAAAGAGCTGCATACTTTTGCACGTGTTCTCAGAATGGAACACCAACCCTTGGACACTTCATCAGTACTGGAGGATACCTCCAATTGTCTTTTCCTACTGCGAGCCATTACTCCCGATTATTGCTTTTGGTTAGAAAGTGAGATTGTTAATTGCCCCATGCCGCATGCCCATGCCAAAGGCAGCCTTTCTTCAGCTTCTCCAAGTTGGTGACCTGCAGCCCAGTGGCAAACCTAAACCCCCGACTCCGAGCCATATGAAGTAGGGTTCTCCTTAAGGCTTTTGTGGGTGTATGAAGGTTTTGGGGAGAATAGTTGTCACTTGCGATGTTCCAGCTTTTCGAAGCTTTTGGTGAGTTCCGCATGCTCGCCTTTCACGTGCTAATGACTTACGCTCGGTCCTCGTACTGCTCATGAAGGACTTAAGAGCTGCTTCGCGGACGCACGAGTCGCGACGAGCCCTGATAATTCTGAAAAAGGACAGGGATTGCTCGAGCCCTGAAAGAAGAATAACCGGAGAATTGCCTGAAAATTACAAAACAACAGCGTTTCTACCGAAAACCACAGTATGGGCGACGCACTCTTCAATGCAACCCCCAAAACACTGAGATCCTAAATCTGAAACGAACCCCAAAACGGGTACCCTTATTTGAGAAACCCTACATGGGGTTTCGAAAATAAGGGGCCCCTAAAATGAGCGACCCCTAATATAGAACCCCAAATAGCAATAAGGTACCCCTAATTTCGGAAACCCCCCAAATTGAACCCTGAACCCTGAACCCTAAACCCTCTGTGTGCGACCAAGAAGACATCCTTGGATGGCGCGTCGCCTACATCCTTGGATGGCGCGTCGGCTGAGGGCAGCGTCGTCGGCAAATCCAGCTCTGGATCTGCCACAATTCGGCATCAAGGCGGGGGTTTAGGGTTTAGGGTTTAGGGTTTAGGGTTTAGGGTTTAGGGTTTAGGGTGTAGGGCTTTGTTGTTTCGGGTTTAGGGTGTAGGGATTATTGCTTAGGGTTAAGGGGGTGGGGGGGCTGGGGTGGGTTCGAGGGGAAGGGAAAAGGAAAGGAAGCTGCAGCATTGGGGGGTACATGTTCTATACAAACCTAAACTACTCAGGCATGCCTGCTTGATGGACGCGGATAGCCTGCCTGCAACCTCCAGCGCTCTTCTTGCCAGGTGGGGTGTTGTCCAAATCATGCAGCTGGATGCTGGACAATTTGAGGGCTCACCAAATTCATCTCAAGAAGAGCACTGGGACTGGTCACGAATCCTCGAGTAGCACAAAATACTCCAATCATTTTGGACCTCAATGGTGGTCATGAGGCTGCAATATTTGGGGGTTACTCTAAGCTAGGGCACCTGACAGATGCCCTTAACAGTAGTCTCCAATATGAAGAAAAGGGAAATGGTTGCGGGCTCCTTTATGCACGTTTTATTGGCAGGGTTATGTAGCAAAATAGGATCGCCGAACCTATATATGATACACTAACGAGCCTTATTGTTTGAGCACAGCCGGTCTGATTCGGGCTCCAGTAAAATCACTACAAGACAAGAAACCTTTCGTTGCGCCTGCGGAGGATGTTATGGAGTGCCTCGTTCGTACATCCGGACCTGGCGCCCGGAGTGCCCGGAGTTATCCGCAAGAACCGTACCACTACATCTTCTTGTATTTCCAGGATGAAGGGGGTTCTCAGGAATAAAAGCAGTCCTTTGCAGCTGCTGCCGCGGTTCTGCATTTGCAAGGAAATTGTGTCGGTGTGCTTCGGTCTTGCTTCCAGCAGAACGACTTCAGCCCGTCGAAACGAAGCATGCTTGTCATTCCACATGTCTGTTGTCAAAACCTCAAAGGGACGAGCATGACGAAGCAGCTTGTTTGTACTGCGTAAGTATACATTATGCACCAGTCTGCTTCGTGATCCCAGACATGGAACGATACGAGCGAAAGCGTGCCGACTTTTGCAATCTGCACGGAGACTCCTCAGGGCATATCTCGCCAACTTAGCACAACATTTCCCAGGTGCCCCGAAGCAGCGATTCTTCCGACATCCCCCCTTAAGGCCCTATCAGCCAATCACCATGTCCCGAAGCCCCATAAACCCCAAAACCCCAAAACCCCGTCGCCCTCTCTGCTGCCTTCGGTTTCTGTCGGACCAATGAACATCGTTTCTGTATTCCCAATGTTGAGGCTGGAGGCGGAGCCGAACCTGTGCAGCAGCCCCCCCCCCCCCCCCCCCCCCCCCCCCCCGGCAAACAAAAAAAGAGAACACTACACAGACTGTAGTACAAGCCTCCCAAAGACCTGCAAAACTTGATGGCTTGAAGGATTTGGCTCTGACGAAGCTCGGATGTTATTTTGCACTTCATCCTCTAACACCACGTAACGCGCCCAACTGCCACACTCGGCTTCCAAGGCGTCAACTCGTGCTCCTTGTGGATTCAGAATCCCGACTTCCAGTCGCAACCTATGTGTAAAAGGGTGTAGGCATAGCACCTCGTACTCATAATCAGCTCGCAGCTGAATACTTGATATAGACAACATAAGATGTTGATCACAATGTTTGGCTCGCGAGGGATCCCCGCTCGCGGAAAGAAATTTGTAAAGAAATGGATGGCTCGAGGAAGTGGCCCATGCGGTGGTGAGGTGGTGTCTCGAAGCTTTGCACGATGCGGTGAGGAGGTGTAAACGTGACTCGCAATGCCAAAAGGTGAAGCTTCATGCTGCCTGAGGCTAGGTTGTTTGCAGCACCCGCTCGATCGAAATCACTAGACGGCAAGGTGAGATGTGCTGATGATGTGATGTACGGTGGTTTGCGATGTGTGAAAACGCAAAAGGTGATGGTACGAGGCAATTTGGTGGTCTGATGTCGGTGATGCCGGATGACTTGCAACATGGTGAACGTGTATCATCACTCTGCTGATGTGGCGTTTCCCGATTTCGCAAGCCGCGGCTGCGGAAGAACACTCGTACATCCTCCGTCCGCACTGCGCTCTCAAGCGGCGCAGCAACATGAGAAATCAGGCAGAGGAGAAGTGCGCGGGAAACGCGGCTTCCCTGTGGCATACAGTTGAAGACATCGGTATCTGACGACCCAAACCCTCATCAACTCAACGCCAGGGTGAACGCAGCTGTTTCATCAAACAAGTTGCTTGAAGAAGGCAGGTTTCAGCTGCTTTGGCTCCTGCAGTGCAAGGGGGATTGATGATGGTCTTTTGGGGTTTAGGGGTGTAGGATTCTGGGTCTTAGGATGATTTAAGTGCGCAATTGCACAAACTGCACATTCAAGCTATATATATGGGTTGGAGGACATTCGGGGGCCTAGGGGGGGTGGGGGGGGGAGGGTAAGGCCCAAACACTTCAACCCCTGATAGCCCCCTAAGCATTAAAACCCTACTTGGGGTTCCGGAAGCAGGCCTAGCAACGCCATAAGTCCGAAGAAGAGATCCCCACAGTCAGGTACCCTCCCCCAATGCAAGCACTCCATGGCTCGCTGCAACATGTGTTAGATTCAGGCGATTGTGAGCTCCGTGCATTCTGGCACCCGAAACAGCAAGTATGCCTGTGACATGTTACCGTGTCACCATCACACATGCAGTACTCCAGCTCCTGTGAGGAGTCGGGTGACCGCGGGGACCGCGGCGAATGCAGCGATGTTGGCTTGCGCAGGAGCTGTGACTCCGAGAGCTTAGGAAAAGTAATCGGAGGGGGGCTGGCCAGCTCTGGAGAAGTCGTCAGCGGCGGCGACGAAGGAAGTCGGTGCATCACCTCCTGCACCAAGATGGGGGGGGGGGTTTAGGGTTTAGGGCTTAGGGCTTAGGGCTTAGGGCTTAGGGTTTAGGGTTTAGGGTTTAGGGTTTAGGGGTTTAGGGTTTAGGGGCGGATCTTGGGATTCTGTGGTTCAAGGGCTGTGGGCTTAGGCGAGGTACTGTCTGAAGGGCCGTTCACGTCCTCTGCGAGAGACTGCAAGCACTGAGGGCTTGGCCTATCCGAGCGATCAGCTTCGCACGAGACCCTATAGGCCCTAAAGCCTTCTACATTATACCATGTAAGTATGATGCAGAAGGCTGTTGAAAAACCCGCAGACTCTTTGTAAGCCCGAATGGCTCTAAGCCTCCGCCAAGCCCCGGATGGATGCACGCAACGTGGTCTTTGGGGGAGCGATGATTACAAGGCCGGCTCAGGGTTTTGGGGTGGGCTTTAGGGGTTTGGGGCTTGGGGCTTAGGATTTAGGGCTTGGTGTTAGGGTTAGGGTTTCTAGGGCTTGGGGCGTGAGTGGCTCGACTCGCGAGCAGCTCTAGAGCTGCCACCCTTCTCAGCAAAGGTCGGGTGACATCCCAGTTTTTGCCTTCGACTTTCTCCCTAAAGTCCCTAAAGTCCCTAAAACCCTGAAAACCCTAAAGTGATTAGGATGCTCCATACATCTCATCGACCCATCCTCCAGCACCGAAAAGCCCTAAACCCTGCACCCCATAAATCGCAAACCTTAAACATCCTCAACCTCTAAACATCCCCCAACCTTCCTCTGTTTTTTTGGGGGAAGATACCCTACTCAACCCTAAACTTTGCGAGCTTCTTTGGGGAGGGAATAGCCCTCCTAAGTCCCTAAACCCTAAACCCTAAACCCTAAATCCTAAACCCTAAACTAAGGGGAGCAGAAAGCTCCTGTGCCATGGAGGACATCTGCTGGCTCAAGCCATGGAGGAGCTCTGCCTGCTTGGCAAACTCTGCCTCGAGAACTCCTGGTGTCGGGTTCAGGGTTTAGGGTTTGGGGTTTAGGGTTTAGGGTTTCGGGTTTCGGTTTAGGGTTTAGGGTTTAGGGTTTAGGGTTTAGGGTTGAGGGTTCAGGGTTCAGGGTTCAGGGTTTAGGGTTTAGGGTTTGGGATTTGAGGGCTCAGGATTCCAAAGGACTTCCCAGGCGGGCGTCTAGGGGGTTTATAGGGGGGTTCATGGGGCTTTTGTAGGGCTTCTGTAGGGGCTTCTTTTAGGGCTCCAGGGTTGCAGGGCTCTAGGGCTCATAAGTTGTGCAGGGTTTTCAGCTTCAAGGGGCTGATGGGTTTAGGGTTTAGGGTTTAGGGTTTAGGGTTTAGGGTTTAGGGTTTAGGGTTTAGGGAGTTACAAGGCTTGTAGGCCTAGTAACCCAGACTCCAAGGCTGGACAGCGAACAAAACCCCCCCACACTCTCACCCAGCCCGTGCGGCCTGCCAACAGCTGTTGCAGCGAGTCCTTCAGTTCGCATGGGGGGGGGGGGGGGGGGGGGGGGGGGGGGGGAGGGGGGAGGCTAGAGGGGGAGGCACTTCGACTGAAGGCTTCGGGTTTTGGTGTGCAAGATGTAGGTCCCAGGGTTCACAGGTTAGGGTTCACGGTTTTCGTTTTATTCATGGATCAGTGAGAGCGCCATCAAGCACACAATATGGCATGTAGCTGCGATCCTTTCAGCGATTCTGTCAGTCTGAACTTTAACCTTCGCCTCGTCCCTCCCTGGATGGCTTCTATCCGAAACCTGCACCACAACTTACTATCCAGAAGCCTTTGTTTAGGTAACCGCTGCCACCCACAACTTCGATGTTCGGGGAGTGGGGGAGTGGGGGAGTGGGGGGGTGGGGGGAGGTCCTGGCCGAGCAAGTTGCCTTCTTCCGTGCCGAGCAAAGGGACATGGTTCTCCTCCGGCACCTGGTCCTTAGTTGCCCAATACCCTGACCCAAAAAAACTTAACACTTCTCTTTTAGTAGGGGTTTAGTATACCCCAAAAAAGTGTAAAACCTCTCGTTTAGTGAGGGTGTAGTATACCCAAAAAGGTTGTAACTTTTTCTTTTGGTAGGTGCTTAGTATACCCAAAAAGGTTTTAAAAGTTCACCTCATTGGGCTCCTAAGGATCCCAGCTGGCTGCGGGGTCCCAGCCGGACATCGCGCCACGATGCCACGATGCCCCGGTCTCCGATGAAGAGCAGGGAGACCCGGGCTTGGGTGGCGAGAGCAAGTGTAAGTAGTCAGTAGTATGTGGGGTAACTGATCACCATGAGCTATAGGCCTTGAATCCTGGATTCCTGGACCTTGTACCAGCCTTACCAGTCTCGCCCGCAATCAGAACCCGAGGCCCCCATGTCAAAGAGCTCTAGTTCGACGTGCTCCGAGCCAGGCGGGAGAAGATCAAGCATGATGTCGCATGTAGAATAAAGAATTCCGCAAAACTCAAGCCCAGCTTAGACGGAAGGTCCTGGCAACTTTGACCCAAAAAACGCAGGTACTGAGCTCCAGAGACTCGTAGGCTTGAGGAATTAGCCGGACTGCTAGGCTGCAGGTTTAGGGCCGGCTTAGGGTTGGTTGCATTCGATCATCTCATACCACCTCAACCCCTCCCTGAAGCCTCAGCACGCTTGCGCTGTGCGACTTTGCTAGCTGCAAAAAATAAACCGATTCTCTGCAGGATCGTCGCAGTTTGGGGTTTGGGGTGTCTGCAAGGGGATAAGTGGCCGCCAGTGCAGAACATGGCAACACCAGCACCCTGACACGCCCACTGGCCCATACTAGTAACAAAGCCCCCACCTCACAGCATTCGACTGTGCAGTGTCCCAAAGTAACAGTTCCGCGCCCCTCATTCATCGGAACCCCTCCATCCGATGCAGAAGTGGCAAGTTTTGCTTCAAGTCATGGCTTACAGTGAAGCTACCTGTGCTCTGATTGAAAAACACAACCAGCAGCCCTAGACCCTAGAGGCTATGAGCCCAACCCTAGCAGGATTTTTGTTGACTTCTTCTGTGAAATCTAGAAGATCTCTCGCAGCTTCAACTCGAGAATCCTAAACCCGAAGCCCGAAACCCGAAACCCTAAACCCTAAACCCACAGCCCCGCGCGCCCTCTGCCTCATCTGCCGAAGCCTCTCCTCGAAGCTCTGCGCTTCTAAGGGCCTCTGCAACAACAAAGACTTGCTCCTCTCCATAAGATGTAATGCTTAAGAGAAAATTGTACATGTATCCGTATGCATATATCTGTGATTATAGATATGTATACATATATATGTATACATATATATATACATATATATATATACATATATTTATATACATATATATATATATCTGTATACTGTATATGTGTATGTGGGGCCTCGGCTTCGCTTCGCAGGGCCTGAAGTTGCTCGCCTTGGAGCTGACCTTCGACACGGTGGGAAGTCTGGGTTGGGGGCTTGGGGGCTTGGGGGCTTGGGGGCTTGAGGGCTTAGGGTTTATAGGGTTTAGGGTTTAGGGTTTAGGGTTTAGGGTTTAGGGTTTAGGGTTTAGGGTTTAGGGTTTAGGGTTTGAGGCTTTCGGGCTCCTGGTATAGAGGACTGCTGACGTGCATCAGTGATGTCCGCCACTGATGTTCGTCATGTGCCGGCTGCAGAACTCCTTCTTGTGGGCTGGAGGCGGCATGTCCCGTCAAGTTACTTGGCCTTGCCCCTTCTTCCACGGGCACAAGAAAGTCAGCTAGCAACGAGGCATCTTCTAGTCTTCTAGTCCAGTGACCCCTCTGAGTGAACCATCCCAGCACTTCTCAATGCCACTCATGTCGGCAAGCTGGGATCCTCGCGAACGTTTGCCTCCAGCGCTTTAATCTCCGTCTTGTGCTGCTCCGCCTCGGCTGGGTTTCGGAATCACCAGCTGCAGAAGCCCTAAACCCTAAACCGAAAACCCTAAAGAGTCAGTACTCCCCAAAAGGGAACTACAATTCCTAGGATGGCCCTTGAAACCCTCTGAAACAAATATTCCGAAATGGAATCCTCTGTAACCCAATAAAGGAATATACTATAAAAATGTCCCAAGGGCCTACCTTGATTCAGGGGTCCATGTGCATGTTGTTGGCATTGCAGGAGAGAAACATGAGCCGGGTTCAGGGTTTCGGCTTTCCAAACTCCTCAAGCCTCGACTACACAGATCCTAAACCTTCAGCCCTTGAACACTACTGAAACCTTGGGGACAACCCTATAAGCACTAGACTCTAAACTTCGGGGGGGAACACGGAGGGAACTATAACAAAAAAACCTACAGCCCTAAACCCTAAACCCTGGGGGGAGTCCGGCCTCTCCCTTCAGCGCAGCCAATGACTGGGCCCCTGCGGGTCGGAAACGCATCTTGAGGTCTCCGGGTCCCCTGTAGGGTTTAGGGTTTCTAGGGCCCAGGGGTACCTCAGGGTCAGTTGGGGAATCCGGGGTACTTAGGGCATTTAGGGTTCCCCTTCTCAAAGAGGTTCTTGTGCTCCAGGCAATCTTGCCAGTTCGGTAACAGAGCAGTCACCCCAATGCTCCCATACCAGCATCTCTAGGGCTGTTCAGGACGCAGGAGTTGCAGCTGCAACTCTGCTCAGCATTCTTTATTGTGGACTGCAAGATGCTTCTATTCGCTTTCCCTTTGATGAACCTTAACCCCTGCACCCCACACAGATCCTTCAGCACATCTACGGACCTCAAGCCTACTTCGTTGTAGGGTTCTCGCTGAATACCCCGTGTGAGGTTCGTACCAAAGCAAACGTGGCATTTGGAGAGTTTTTGAGGCTGGGTTTCGGGCTTATGTGCTCAGACCACTCTAACTGTAAGTCCTCTTTGGGGCCACCTACTGTTGTGCCCTAAACCCTAAACCCTAAACCCTAAACCCTAAACCCTAAACCCTAAACCCTAAACCCAAAATCTAGGTAGGGTCTCGTCCCGTAGCTGCCTTCTTGCAGGCTGTCGATGGCGGTTTCCGCCTTAACGAGCTCGCGGCAGAGCCTGGGCTGGACTGCCGCCCCGAGCCAATCATATTTAGGGCATTTAGGGTTTAGGGTTTAGGAATTAGGGTTTTCTTGGTTGTAAGGTTGGGGGGTTGAAGTTTAAACGGTGTGGGGTTTCACCGGGAAAAGCTGTCAGTGGTGTATAGGCATGGCTTGCAAGGCTTGGGTGTGTCTTGCGACTCGAGACTTGTCAGAAGGCACATCGCAGCTGAGGAAGCAGCTCGTGTATGCGATTCTCGCTCAAGGATAGCCTGATATGCAGAGAGCAGCTCAGAAGGAAAAGGCGCAGACACTCGTAGTTACCCCACGCAAACATCGTAGAGAACAAGGTAATCCACCTTCTGTGCCCTAGCAAGAACACACTGCATGCGCCGATTCCGACACCCCTAAACACTCTTACACGCATTTCCGCAGTGAATTGTTTTGAGCGTTCGGCCCTGCGCCGAACTCCTTCCAACCAAAGAGCCGTTACCACAAAAACACGGCAGCAACTTTTCGAAGTAGTCATGTTCCGTCGGCCGGGTCGCAGTGAGCTGAACCTCGAAACAAGCCTCAGCAGCCCTTCAGAACGACGTTTTAGACACTTGGGGTCTGGCTGCGTTGTCAGTGCCCTGCTCGCCACAGACTCCGCCAAGGACTCCTCTGCATTGTATGCGGCACTTTCGGGATCGGAGGCTTCTGTGGCGTTTGGGTAGCATACAACATGACAATGAGGGCTGGGGAAGCATGCGCCACCAGAAGCGACCAATTGGTGTCGCCCTGTGTCCCCAAGACCTGTAACCTCAATGCCAAGACAAGGCTCTTGCGAAATCTGCATGGGACCTCAGTATCCTAAACACACTAGACCGTAAACCCTAAACCCTGCTCCCCCGGCAAAAAAACTAAAAATAAAAACAACGAACAAGCTGTGCGGAACCAGGGGCTCGAGG